GACGAATATGTGTATCGCTTGAACAATATGTTAGTGTTTGGCCTAGCTTCTCCTCCGATATTCGGCGTGCGTGATTTTGTCACACAAAGTAAAGGACAGTTTTACGCCGACTCCGAACGGCAATTGTATTTTAATGAGAAGTTGTTTCCATGACAGAATACACTCGGAGGTTTACTATTACCAACAGAGGGGCAACCACTATTAGAAAAACTGGGCTTGAACTCAGGCTCTGCGTAATGCTCTACAGCAGCCGCCACTACTTTTACATATATTGCTGGTATATTCAAAATACTTTCCCGAACTTCGGAGCGTATATATGTAATATAAAAAAGAATGAGAGGTACTATAAGAAAATGTACCCAAAATTCTGGAGCAAATGGAAAAATGCTCATTGAAAATAGTTCACATGTATAAATTAAAAGATATAACTTAATAGGTTACAGCGCTAAACAAAAGGAAAAGTTAGAAAAAATAGCAATGCGGTTTGAAGGAAACATGAAGCCATAAAATGCTTGTTTGTTTCGTTAATACCCTGAACTTTGTAAGATATGGCACTCTATTATTTTCAGTAGTTTGCAAATATTCACTAATGGTTCTAAAATCGCAAACATTTTCGTGGGATGTTTTTGTTTGATTTCGAATTGAAAATACATTACGATCATATTGTACCGAAATAAGTGCGGTATCCCTGCATTTTTGTAAAAGCCAGAAAGAAGCATAAACTGTATGAAAAAATGAAAGGGAGAAGTATACATGCCTTCTATAATTTTGACTTATATGTATATTTGGCATGACTTTGTGTAAACAACAAAAAATACAAATTTTCATTTCTTTGCCAGCTTGGAAAATATAGGCTTATTGTTACTTAAACGTGATATAAAGCTCATTAAAATGTTCTGTAATGTCTTGTTGTAAGTTTGTTATCATAGTTCTTCGTATTTTTATTGTCCACTAAACGTGAGTGGCTTCAATTTAAAAAGTTCTAGTACAAAGAATTTCTTTGTTTTGAATTTGTTTGTTTATTGTTTTTAATTTTTAAATTCATACTTTTGACATGTATGCGAATGGCGGAGTTGCCGCTTTCCTCCTTTTCGGTGGGTTTTTATATTAAAAAGGCATCAAAATGGGAAAAACCCCCCTTGGTATCTCTGCATCTGTTAAACTTTTTATGGGAAGATGTATGAAAATTCAACTTGCTATAATTTCATATGCTTAACAGTATCACAACAGTATGTTTACAGTATCTCCCCATAACTTTTCATATGAAAAAATTTATTATATGCATCCCACTCGATATCATTGAATTCCTCATTAGAACATGTAGTCCCTCTATTTTAGCGTATCAACAGTTCATATGGCTTCATACCATGTAAATGCGCCATTATTCAAGTAATGACATCATTTACGTAAAAATCAATAAGCGAATAGGCAATAAACTCACCCCCAGATATAAAAAGGAAATAGTGCTCGAAGACAGAGGAAATGTGGTTACAACCAAATCCGGAAGGTCTGTGCATAAAAGTCATATCAAGGCTCAATAACAAGAAAAAAAAACATAAATAAATAGATTTTTTAGTATAATTAAGGAAAATAAACAAGTAAGAAAGGTAGAAATTAAAATAGATTAGGTAATTGAAAGATATAAGACAAAGGAGTTTAGGATTAGGCAGAATCGATCAATATGCCATAGGCGTACGATTTTAAAGATATTTGCAGGGAAAATATTTCTGAATAATTGAGTGTTCATAGTGACTAAAGAAGAAATAAGTTTTTCAGTCTCATCGGCTGCATGGTTTATGCAGATGTCCAAATCCACGATTATTCCTCATGCCACCTGATAACCATAGATAACGGCTACTCCAAAATTAAGGACGGTACGCTCAATTTTATCCACGTCATTGATACCCAAGCCTACCGAGACGTTTTGGAAAACATAACTGACATAATAGACAGAAGCTTACCGACAGGAAATCCTATATATCCTACCTTACAACACGAGGCCCAACAAGCAATCGAAAACAATAATATATCTCAGTCCCATAGAATTTGTTTTGATAATTTTTGATTTTGAAATTTTAGCAAAAGTCATTACAAACAATTTATGAGATTGAAAACGAAAAACGAGCAGCGCATGCAATACAAAGCGCTAAATTTAATTGACAATATTCAAACTACATACATAACATAGACCTAAAATTTCTACAGCGAAAGTACAAATTTGAGACCGATTTTAAGCGGTCGTTATTAATATACCCCCATACATACATGTACTACTCTTCATGTTGTTTGCTTACGTTTTGTATAAACATACATATGTACATATAGCAGCAAGTAATTTCATTTAAAGAAGTGGCGTGTCGTCCATTTCCGCTGTAGCGTATTTAAATGGTGCATATATTTAGGCGCAATATTTAACTTCTTCTGGCGGGGCGACATCTGGAGTCTTCTAATTGTATCTCCTTGATATGATGCCTACAACGAGGTTCATATCTAGACTAGGTTGATATCTAGAATTTGCCACAAATAGCTTTGCTACACTACCGCCGGCAGCTTTACCAATTTTATAGTGGTTTTACGTTCTTTGCCAAATTACGCTCTGTTAGCCATAAATCTTACTATTTTTTGACCACCTTTGAATCAAGACCCCTGGACCATATGGGGAATTCATTTATATTTTAAATTGCATTGTCATCGTGATTGGAACTATGCTGAACATTTCAAGTCTCTAACTTGTCGGGAAGTTAGATTAACATCGATTGGAAATTTCCGCGATTTCCGCGGGATGACCAAGTTAAATAAAAGCTTATAATAATAAAAAGGAATTGTTTAAAGTTGTTGGTGTTTGAGATTGGAAAGAGAATGGTGTAAAATTTTCAAATTAAATTGCTTGCAAACGTCAAGAATTTGAAAAATTCCTCTCAGCGGTTCTACCTTCCTATTTTTTTATCATGCAGTGATTGAGACAATTGAAGAAGTATGCATGTATTACAGTGACCACACACGACGAACATGTGCGCGAGCATGCTCGGGTTGCGGTGCATGTTCATCGTTTGTAGGGTTCACGAGCATGTCCGCAAAAATTCAAACAAGTTTTATTTTTAGTGAGAATGCTCGTCGTTTGTGTCCTGGTTTACGAACATTGCATTGGAAACAAAAACGACAACCTCATTTGGTGCTGATGCTTGCAGCGTGCACATTGGCGGATAAATGCATCCAAGCCATGTGCGTTAATTATACTATCAGGCCAATTCTTAATACTCCCGGGGAGTTTGGCTCCGGGAATTTGTTTCTCCCGAGAAAGAAATTCCCCAATAATTAACTCCCAAGAGTAGCATTTTCCCCGAAAACTTGGGAGGATTAAATTCGTACTTTTTTTTGAGAGAGCTCAACTCCGCCCTTTAGTATAAAAACTCCTCAAGAAATTTTTATCCATGATAGGAGGAAAGGGAGAGTTTCTGTTCAGAATCAGCCTGTATATGTATATGTATGTACTTACTAAAGGTCTGCATCGCAATTAGATACGATACCCTATCGATACTTTTGGCATTTGATACCGATATTTTCTACTCGATAGTTTTAAAACGATATTTTTTGGAATCGAGTACCAGAACCCTAGTATCGTATCGAATGTCATAAACTCACATTCCAACAATGAGGGGAAAAAATTTTAGAATAAAAAAAAACGTGCTAAATTGAAAAAAATACGCATATGAAAGAGCACCAACCCAACTCGTTTTAAATTTGAGTATATACGTTATAAAATATGTAGTTTTGAAGTGCACAGATGCTTTTTCGTAATTAAGAAGAAACAAAATTTATTTTATGTTCCGTCTGATGGTAATTGAACCCGGACCCTCTTGGCCGCAACCAATTGTATCAAGCGTCTTTGCACACTCAGCTACAGCCATACATGTAAAGGCGTTTTCAAATGTTGAGTTTGAATCAACATCACAGCGCGCGATTAGTGCATTATGTCATACCATGTATGTGTGTATGTGTTGTTACCACTGTGCCTGCTTTGTATACATATACCTTCTTAATTACATATGAAAAAGCATCCGAGACGTGCAAAACGCCATCCGTGTAGTGAAAAATGCTTCATTTTAATACGAGCGTATTTGAATTGAATATTTCCATTATATGTACGTAGTGTATGTATAATGGAAAAATCCATTTTGTTAAGACTTTTCACTTGATTTAAATACGAACATTTTTAAACGGTAATCAAATAAAAGATTTTTATTCTTACAACGCGTTTTTGTTTTTCTCAGTGAAGGATAATGTTATTAACAGCTCAACCTAGTATTACCGGCGAGTTTTTCTACGCACGCACGCAAGTTTTTCTCATTTGATAAGCCCAAATCAATTCGCGAGCGTGATTTCTCAGAGTTGCATTACTGTCAAATTTACAGAAGTTTGCTGAGAAAAATTTGAATTCATAGTCGCGCCAATTGAGCATAAACGTCAAATCGAAATGTCACGCAAGATAAATCTTGGAATTTGAGTTAGCTTTTTACGCACGCATATAAGGTTGGCATGTAACAATTCTTCCCGATATAAATTGGGCTTTAAAGTGCAGAAATGTGTACTATGGTTAGGATTGCATGTGGTGGGCTAGGTCAACACCTCAATCTCTACGTGTTGTAATAATAATAAAGTCCGGCGCTTACACAATATCTTAGTGTTTGGCCGAACTTCTCCTCCGATTTGTCGCGTGTGCCTTAATGTTGTGGCACGAATGGGGGTGCCTACGGTTTTATGTCGACTCTGAACGGCGATTGTATTTTATGGGAAACTTTTTTTCTTTTTCACTTCTAACCATTATACCCCCAGTGGCCTATATGCGAGACCTATATTCAGATAAATTTTTTGGTTTTTGGTATCGATATTTGGAATATCGAGTCTTTTTATTCCGATATTAATGGGTACCCGATATTTGTAAAGCGATAATTTAAATGAATACCATATCGATACTTTCGGTTCGATATCGTGTCCCTAATCGCAATTCAGTTTGCTTCACTGTGAAGTTTTCTTCAAATATGTTAACTACTCATACTCTAACAAAAAGGGTATAGAAGGACCCAGCGGATCAAATGCTCACAAATGATAATACATGCGAGTGAAATGCGAGATTTAACCCGGAAAAACTCTCGCAAATGAATGGGGAAACGATAGCAATATGACTTATATGTCGTTCAGTTTGTGGCAGTGAATCTTTCATTTACGATAGTTGAAAGGAATATCGTTAAGCAGCATTTACATGAGGCGATTTTCTAAGCGATTCAACAACGCCTGAGAAGTTGCCTGAAAAGTTGATAACACACGTGCATTTACACGGGCGACAAAAGTTGAACGAGTTCGAATGTCAACGTTGACTTTTTAAAATTTTGGTTAAATATGAATAGAAGAAAAATTTTAAAACTTAGCATCAACATAATTGCTAAAGAAATAATAAAAGATTTAATCAATAACCTACGCAAGGAAGTGGTAAAGAGGAAACGTAGAGTATGGGTAAGGAAATGGGTTCGTCAGCGTGAATTTTTGGGTGCTTCTGATAATTTGTACAAGGAGCTTGCCTTAGACGACCCGAAAAACTTTCAACAGCGTTTAAGAATGACCAACGAACAGTTCAATTATCTTCTCCTAAAATGTGCACCTTTAATAAAAAAACAGGATACAAGTATGCGTGCAGCGCTCTCACCAATAATTAAATTGCAAGTTACGTTAAAATTTTTGGCAAGTGGTGACAATTACCCAACTTTAGCGGAACTATTTCGAGTACCAGAGAGCACCATTTCCCTATTTTTGAAGGATGTACTCGACGCTATATGCGAGGTTTTGAACAAGTATATTCAGGTAAAATGGTTAGCGGTTTAGGAAAGTTATAGAATATGACCTTGTTTTGCATTGAAGGTACCAACATCAAAAGAACAATGGTCTAAAATTCAAAAACGATTTTGCTGATATCTGGCAGTTTCCTCACTGTTGTGGAGCTCTGGATGGGAAGCACGTCCTCATACAAAATCCACCACGCGGAGCCTCCGACTT